ATGCGCTACAGGCGTGTAGTGCGGGCAGTCTATGTGACGTCACCACAGGCGCAAATACCTGTTTTTTAAACTTTTCCCAGTGATCGCGTCACCGCTACCTGGCACGCTACATAGTTTTGGATAGGGCACGGTACGGCCTACATATTGGCAAACACAATATGTTTGATTTTGCCAATTTCGGCTGCTAGGAGCGACCCGCGCGGCCCGCGACGTTTGGGCCCCTGGAGACGCCCGGTCAGTCGCGAGCTCGGATTCACCATGTCGGATGTGAAGTAGGACCCATAGGGTCATACTTCAGACCCAAGCCGTCACCTTTGACCCCACCGTGTCAGCACGGCAGAGCCGACAAGGTGTCGGGTCACCGCGCGCCAATTTCGAGCCCTTTCGGAAAATCACGATGCGGGTCGGGTAAACGTTATCGCACAGGGTTCAAACTTTGCACAGGGTCTCTGCCACGTCTAATCTATCACTAGACGTGCGTACCTCGAAAAAAATTTTCCGGTGAGATGGCCTAGGGCGGGCGCGCGGAGGAGCGGAGGGCGGGCGGGGAGGCTCCCCTCCACCCGCCGCAGAAATTAGTATGCTTTGACATAGTGACTTCCGTTATCCTGTTCAATTTATTCTTCTGCATTTCAGCTTCAACGGAATGCTTCATTTCAATAGACCCAAAAACGTCTAGCATGAGCGAAGTGAAGAACGAGGAGAACGAAAGACGGAAAACAGCTACGTTTATTAGGGTATTTTAACAATGACTAGCGGCACTGTTAAAAATGTTTGAAATTTCATTACGCAATAAACATTAATTTCAATAAATTTGTCATGAAATTTAAGGACACCCTTAATTTAAGAACAATGTTTATAAATTTAATGGCAATTTCATTACACGCTATTGAAATTTCATTACACGCCCCTTTTCAGTGCATGTAATTATGACATTTTCATAACACTGTTATTAAATTTTCATCACATGTTTATTTAACAGTTAGGAAACTCCCCCCGGCCAGTGGTGGCATAAGACCACGTTACAGCTCGACCACTCTTAGGTAATCCTCGTGGCCGAGTGGTCAAAGGCGACGGTATTCCAACCCAAGGGTTCCTGGTTCAACTCCCGGTAATGAGCGAGTCACTTGGTATGAAGAAGAAAAGAAAAAGATGGCGGCGACCCAAAACAAAGCGACATAACCTGGTTGCGAAACCCTCCCAAATAGAGTTTTTGGAGCTGATATCGGGTATATTTCTGTTGATTGTACGCCAAAAGAGATTAAAAACTAATTTGAAATTCACGACTTTGAATATAAACGCAATTCCGAGATGCAGCTTTCTGCTTTGTTTTGGGTCCGCGCTACGCTACGCCACCAACTTCTTTTCTTCTTCATACCAAGTGACTCGCTCATGTACGGTAAACTGCTATGGTTGCGGCCTGTAAAGCCCGTTAGTTGGTTGAGGAGTTGGTGCCATAAGGGTTAGAGCGAAACAATTTTTTTTAGAAAGTTGTCAATTTTTTAATAACATGTGTTATGAAATTTCAGTACTCAATAGACCATTCCACCGACGGGGGAAAAAGAAAGAAAAGAATCAAAAAGCACCGGAAACAGTATTGATAAACAGATCAAACCGTTTACTTTTTCTAGTTTTCTTCACCAAGGTAATAATTCTGGACTTGTTGGTGTGCCGCAGAGGTGTACAAAAATGATCTACACACTGGTTTTTGTTACTGTTTCCGGTACTTTTTGATTCTTTTCTTTCTTCTTCCCCATTCGGTGGAATGGTCTATTGTAATTAGAATTTAATAACATTGTAATGAAATTGTAATGAAAATAGCTTCATATAAATGTTATTAAAATGTAATGAAATTTTTTTAACAGTGGGAATGTAAAGAAAAGAAGAAGAGCATAACTACACAGACTGTTTCCCCTTGCTCGATTTACTGGCCGTCCGCCAGACCGACGTCATCGACGGCCAATAAAGCATTTCGGTAAAGCCTAAGTGCAGAAGAATGCGGGGAAGAAGTAAACGGAAATCGCTATGATGTAGCATGGTTACTTCCGTTTACTTGTTAACTGCATTCTTCTGCATCTCATCATTACCGAAATGTTTTATCGACGTTTAGAAGGAAACAGATCAGAATGGTCTACTTCCCTGGAAAATCCGCTATGTAAAGGGAAAGTTTTTCATGGCACTTCCGCAGTTATTCTCCTAATAGAACCTTTCAGAATAGACCAATCCTCCACCGAATGGAGAAGAAGAAAGAAAAGAATCAAAACGTACAGGAAACAGTACCGAGAACCAGTATGTAGATCATTTGTGTACACCTCTGTGGCACACCAAGTCCAGAATTATTATCTTGGTCAAGAAAACTAGAAAAAGTGAACGATTTGATCGTTTTATCAATACTGTTTCCGGGTGCTTTTTGATTTTCTTTCTTCTCCCACAGTCGGTGGAATGGTCCATTAGCGAAGTACAGAAAAGGGTGAAGAACAGTAGACCGGAAACAGTCGGAAACAGTAGCTTTTAATCTTCCAAAAGTGCGCAAAACACTTGAATAAAATGTAGGTCGTATCATTTTGATATTGTTTACATTTGAAGCAAGTTTTCATATAAGTTTGGGTTGCTAAAAACAACTGTTTCCTGCCTGTTGATCTTCAACTGGTTCTTCACATCGCTAATAAAGCATTCCGGTAAAGCTGAAATGCAGAGGAATGCGGGGAAGAAGAAAACGGAAGTCACCATGGTAAAGCATAGCGCTTTCCGTTATCTTCTTCCCCGCATTCTTCTGCATTTCAGCTTTACCGGAATGCTTTACTTGGAAAGGGACTATACGCACATGACAGGTACTTCATTTAAACAGAATCACAACTCAAGTCCCGTCAGTCAAAGTCAAGTGGCGTTGGCACGCCAGGCAGGCTCGGACCCATACCGCACGGAGTTGCCTCAGGAGCGAAGTGAAGCTGCCACCAACGTTTGGCGGAAGGACGGGCCTGATTGTTGTTGGTCGAGTCGCCTCACGGTGAGACGCCTCAGCTGAGGTTTTCAGACAACTGCAGTCCTCAAGACCTCACACCGAGAGACGACTCGACTCACCTCCGCACAACTAACCACTTCCCGTTTACGGATAATCGAAGCGACCGACGAATCATTCCTAAACTCACTTGCATCCGCCAACATTTATGACGGTCCAGCCGTTGTTGAAGTTGGACAGCGACGTCGGCAGACAATGCGAAGACGGAGCGCGTACAGCTGGAGTTCGGCGGCGTGCTGTGCGCCTCGTGGACGCGGCGAGACTGGAGCTCGCTCGGGGCTCGAGCGTGCGTTGTGTGCGTCGGCTCGGCTGCTCGCACCGCGCGGCACGGGAGGGGAGGGGAGGGGGGTCGCCGCCTGCTGGCCGCCGTCTTCGCGTTCACGCCACGCGGAGAAAAATGCAGAGTAGGAGGGGTCGAATAAAGCATTCCGGTAAAGCTGAAATGCAGAAGAATGCCGGGAACAAGGAAACGGAAGTCCCATGAAAAGGGCATAGTGATTTCTGTTTTCTTCTTCCTCGCATTCTTCTGCATTTTAGCTTTACCGGAATGCTTTATTGAAGAAGGGGGGGGGGGATAGGGGGCCACACAGGGTTGCCGCTGTGGCGTTGTACTCCAGTTGCTCGAGCGTGTCGTGTGGCGTGTTGATGCGCGGTGCCTATATAGGGAACCGAGCATTCCGGTTAAGCTGAAATGCAGAAGAATGCAGGGAACAAGAAAAGGGAAGTCACATTTAAAAGGATAGTGATCTCCGTTTTCTTCTTCCTCTCATTCTTCTGCATATTAGCTTTAGCTTTACCGGAATGCTTTCTTTCAATGGATCGCTGCCCGATACGAAGAAGAACTAAAACGGATACAGAGAGCGGTGGGTGGAAGAGGGAGCCGCCCCGCCCTGCCTCCGCGCCTCCGCTCGCGCGCCCGCCCCCACCACCGCTCTCTGTTTCCGTTTTTGTTCTCCTCAGTTCCGGGCAGCGCCCCATTGAAGTGTTCCAGGCTATCTAAAACGGAAGTGAAAAAGGACAAACTTACTGATTTATCTGTTTCCATCCGCCCATCCCATCTACCCCCCGAAAAGAGTTTGTTCTTTTCCTAATTCCGTAAAGCATAGTGATTTCTGTTTTCTTCTTTCCCACCTTCTTCTGCATTTCAGACCGTGAGGCTCGGCTACGCAAGGCACGGTTCTGCATGTCGCAGGCCCTCGGCGCTCTGCTGTCTCAGCTTTACGAGGGGCGGTGGGAGGCGGCGAAGATAAGAGCCGGTCCTTTATTCTTCTGACTCTCGCTGTCTGGCCGAAGGAAACAACAGGGACGACCCGTGCAGAGGTCCAGCTCGTGCAACAATGCAGCCAAACGGTTTGAGATATCGACCTCAGATTTTGATACAAGGTAGATAAATGAAGTGCTCACTCCTGAGCCCTTTTGCACAAACAGGGCCCATCAAAAATCTGTTGCGGCCAAATCAATGGGGTCTCTGTAGGCAACAGGACACACTTTTTTTGTGTCACGGGTTATTGAGAGAAAACGTGAGAAGTTTGGTCGTTCAGGGCGCTGCACGCGCCGCGTAGAGCCCGCCAGCCAGACGGGCGCTCTTTGAGCCGTGCGGAGCGCGATGCACTATCACGTTACGCTTTGCTCAAAGAGTGTGTCCGAATTCTCCAATGTGTCGACACAAGTTGTGTCGAGGAGTGGGGCGGAGTAGTGTCGAGTGAGCCGTGATTGGTCGGATTGGCCGCTCACGCTACTCCGCTCCACTCCTCGACACAACTTGTGTCGACACATTGGAGAATTCGGACACACTCAAATAAAGCATTCCGTTAAAGCTGAAATGCAGAAGAATGCGGGGAAGAAGAAAACTGAAACCGCTATGCTTTAACATGGTGACTTCCTTTATCTTCTTCCCCGCACTCTTCTGCATTTCAGCTTTACCGGAATGCTTTATTGGCTGAGCGATTAGCGAAGCCTATTACTCCAGTGCTGATCAAAAAGTTTCGGGTCTGTCTGTACGCACGATAACTCGAAAACGGTTTGAGCTAGAGGACTCTAATTTTTATAGTAACTCTGTATCATAAAAGGGAAGAACTGTATTGAATTTGAGCCCTCTGGCTCGAAATTAACATGTCAAAAAAATCATAAACCAAAAGCCCAAAACATTTCTTTAAGAAAATATTTTTTTCACATCTTTCTTTGTAGTAACTCGTCAGAGTAGAATCCTTAGAGCAAAAATTTGTCCGTTTTGCTCTATCTCTAACCGTTTGGGCGCCAGAGGGCGTTTTTCACACGGAAATGACCCCTACACATTTTAATGTTAGCTCTCAGATATTTGATGGTGTCCGATGGAGTAACTAATCAAACTGAAACCTCGAGGAACAAAATTGGTGACTTTTCGGGCCGAAGGCCTATTTACGACTGTGCCCTTTGCCCGACTCAGGTGTCAGCGCCGCAGGCGTAGGTAGATGTATGCCAGGCGCGTCGCAGCGTAACAGTGTTTCGTGAGATATCTCGAAACCTGTTACGCGAGACGTGGTCTGGGGTACATCTACCTAGTTATTTGAAACTTGTTGTGTGGACGGTCAAAGGACCATCCTCGATGTCGGTCTATAGGGTATTTCAATTCAGCGCTGCCCGGAACTAAGAAGAACAAAAACGGATACAGAGAGCGGTGGTGGAGGCGGGCGCGCGGAGGAGTGGAGGGCGGGCGGGGAGGCTCCCCTCCACCGTGCGCTCCTCCGCGCGCCCGCCCCCACCACCGCTCTCTGTATCAGTTTTTGTTCTTCTTAGTTCCGGGCAGCGCTCCATTGAAATACCCTATTAACAAGCAGGCCCGCCCTTCCGCCAAACGAAGTTGCCAGCTCCGCTTCGCTCCGCCGGCGACTCCGCCTCCTGTGGCCCGACCATTTCTGTCACGCAATAAAGCATTCCGGTAAAGCTGAAATGCAGAGGAATGCAGGGAACAAGAAAACGGAAGTCACATGTTTTAAGCATAGCGAGTTCCGTCTTCTTCTTCCCCGCATTCAGCTTTACCGGAATGCTTTATTTGCTGAAGAACATGATCGAATGAAATCCGTCGTCTTTGAGTTTGCCCCAGAGAGAAAGGGATGTATCGCGACTACACCCCACCATACTGCTTAAAAACGTTTTTTGAGGGTGGGGGGAGAGTTTCCTTTCTATTTTACGGTTTTTAGGCCTTTTCCTGCAACTTTTTGTTCACTATTGCATTTTTAAGCTTATTGTCGTCAAAAAAAGACACTCTAGCGCCTAAACGGTTAAAGATAGAGCGAAACGAACGAAATTTTGAGCCCAAGGCCTCTGTTTTGACGAGTTACCCCCCTTAGAAGAACATAACAAAAACAACCTAAGCTTGCGCTAACGTGGAAGCAGATGATATAGCTTTAATTTAATTTTTAGTTAGTGTTCTTTAAATTGGGGAACATAGTTACATGTAGGCAGGGTTGGGAACGTTACTTTGAAAACTAACGGCGTTAGTGCGTTATCGTTATGTAACGGTAACATCTCCTTCTAGTGGAACAGACAGACACATAGGCAGACAGACAGACACGAGGTCATTTGCATAAGCCCGCTGGATAGCTTTATCAAAGCAGAAGGGCGGGCTAAAAACAACCGGGTCAAGTCCTCAAATTCACTTTTTACTCATTAAACTAGCTATATGTACGCCAGCCCACGTCTCGCGTAACAGGCTTCGCGATATCTCACGAAACACTGTTACGCTGCGACGCGCCTGGCGCACATATGGCTAGGCCTGCGGCGCTGACA